CTCCCCACCCGATGTCCCGCCCCGCCCCTGCCAGGCCGGCTCTCCAGAGGCGGTCCCGGCGGGACAGCTGGGGCCGACCGACCAGCGGGACTACAAGTCCCAGCAGCCCCTGGCCCCGCCCCGGGAGCGGGGCCTCGCCGGGCAGCGAATTGGGAGGAGCCCTGGCGCTCAGGCTAGGGAACGCGTGTGGCCAATCCCGGGGCCGCTCGCGCCGTGAGCCGATGGGGGCGGGGAGAAGCGCGCCTGGGCCGGGACAAAAGCGGATCCCGAGCGGTTGCGGCAGGCTGGGGAGCTCCGGGCAGTGGGAGTGAGTCGGGTCCTGTGGAGGGAGCGCCGCGCACGGGCCTTCACAGAGAGGTGAGTGCGGGCGGCTCTTTTCGGCAGCGGGACCCCGGGCCGTCCCGGGCGCTTCCTGTCTCCCTCCGCCAACCCGGAACCGCCTCCCGCGAAGCCGGCTTGGTGCTGACGCGCCCTCCCTGCACCTGCCTGCAAGTTTGGGGCGTCTTAGTTGTAGGTTCGTCTTCGCCCGGGGCCGGCCGGTGGCGCGAGTCGGTCGTCCCCTCCCCCGCCGCTCCCGCTCTGCCACATTCCAGTTGTTGGGAGTTTGCACAGGGCTCGCCGCCGTCCTTGCTTCTCCTCCCTCCGCCGAGTTAACATTTGCCTCATCCGGATTCCCTTGCCCCCACCCGGGGAGCCATCGAGCTTCCTCGGGCTCTTCCGGGCCACCTTTTGCCCCATCCGGCTCCCCTCACCAGATGCCGGGGACGGGAAGTAGAGAGAGCGGTGGAGACTGGTCCCACTCCGACCCCTCACGAGCCGGGCTCAGGCCTTCCTCTTAGTTCTGTGGAGAATCGATCGAGCTCCACGCCGAAGTGGAAGGAGCTAGCCGGGCAGGCCACGCAGGGCCGGGCTGCCCGAGGCCTCGCCTCGCCGCGAGGACTTGGCCCCAGAGCGGCTGCGCAGGACGGACCCTCCTCGCCCTGGAGGTGCCGTCGGGCCCAGCCCTAAGCGACAGATGGCTGGGGCGCCCGTCTCCCTCCCCAACCCTGAGCTGACGCCGAGTCTGACACGGTCCTCAGGGGGCCGGAGGATGCTGCTGCCGTCCTCCTGTCGAGACTGGCAGAAGCCCAGTCCCAGCGCCTGCTGCCCTCGCCACCCTTGGCAGATAGCGTGCATTACCAAGTAGGTCTGTCATTTGGGGTCCCTGAAGTTCTGCCTGGGAAGAGGATTTTGGGAGGGGTGGTGAGGACACAGTTTGGTCTGTCAGTCCACTCCTTTCCACCCTTTCGCTTTGCTCGCTTTGAACCCGCTGGGCTCCTTGGATTTTGGAAATGTTGGGTGGGCGACAGCTGGTAGACCCCAGCTGTCCAGAAGGGTTATTTTCACCATTCTTTGAAAGCTTCTTAAACATCTTGGGGGGCGGTAATGGGAAGAACCCTCAGACATTGGGCAGCTGGTGTCTCCATCCCCATTCTGACACTACTTGCTGCAGTAGGGCACACACAGAATTCTGTCCTTCTTTACACCAGGGTTTGCCTGTCCTCTCAAAAAACTCCAGTTCTACAGATACTAATGTTAAAATGAGTGCTTTGTGTCCTTTCCAGAGAAACCCCTAAATAGCATTACCCAGTGATTCCTCTCCACTGGCTATGTCCCAGGGGTACATTCTTGGGGAACAGGCTCTTTTCATTCAGCTTTCCCTGTGGGCTGCTGCTTCTCAGTGGCTGCTGAGAGTTAACTCAATCCTCGGCACTGTCTTCAGAAAAGACTCCGTTCAGCTCATCAGGTCCCTCCCTTACAGTATGTGTGCATGTGTTCAGGTTCCTTGGCATGATTTCCTACAACTGGTTTGCACATTTACCTGTAACCAGTTCCTGAGGTCCAAGCTATGTCCTGAAGCCATTTATCACCAGTTTCACAGCACATTCAGTACTGTGACTTTGGAGGAGTTCCCCCAAAACCCAGATTGGAATACACTTTAAGTCCCATTGTCACTAGAGAAAATGTTCTTAACTGGTGGTTGATCTGTGGGCCATTAGATCATGGTCACAAGTGAGCACCTTGAAATGATACGCACAGTTGGGTAGGTGCACATTTTTCTGGGATTTTCTTCAGATTCTCACGAGTATGAGACCTCAAAGAAGAGTCACTACCCTAGAGAGACTTCAAGATCCCACTGAACAATTAAAATTTCAATTTATCTCTTACCAAGTCCACTCCCTGGGTTTTTGAGCCAGTTGCCTAATCACTCTACACTGGTGAATATGCAGAGGCCAGACTCACTTCCCCCTTCTATTCTGTTGTATAAATTCTTTGTTTCGACCTCCCCATCTAAGCCAAAATACTCTGGTGGTGAATTTGTTGTTAAATCGGCACATCTTGTTTCCTATCCTGTAACATCCCCTGTTGTGTCTTCTGTCCTATCCTCCTTCCAAAGACCCTATGGAGATGGGCTCTTGGATCTGAGATTTGATCTGGGGCTCAAGAAAATTGTGATTTTTTTTTTTTTCAGCTACAGAAGGTCCCTTTTCTCTCCCTTTTCCTTTCCAAAGTTGGGTCTTGTGTCTATTTTGGAAGGTACCAGGTTTGGGAGACGTGTACTGGGAGTGTCAGACTTTCTTTAAGAGAGGCTTAGCTGAGGGGCTTCCTTTCTCCTGGAGTTTGTGATCACTCTTACTGAAGGTGTCTGAACTGTAGAGGGTGGTCAGCTGCTGCCCCCTCCTCTCTCTGCTTTATCTGCACTAGGCTGCCCTCTATTTGGGAGGGGGGTGGAAGGTGGTGTACCCATTCGATTTCAGGACCAGTTTTTCTGGTCTGAGTCAAGAAGGTTGGGAAATGGAGCAGGAGTGGGTGGGGGTTGGAGGAGTGGGCAGGGGGGCTGGTTGGGGTGTCTCCTTCAGAAATTCACACTGAGAAGGAGTCACAAGTTATCCCAGGGGAAAGCCGGAAAAGAGATTGTCTCCTCTGAGCCCCTTCCCAGTTACCCCACTTTAGGCCAGACACCAGGCTGAATATGCTCACTGTGCTCAGTGGGAGACTAGCTGGGAGGCTGAGGGAGCAGCCGAGCCAGGATGAGACCCTGAAGTGCCACCCCCCACCTGTCCAGATAGGAGGGGGGTGCAAAGCAGCCTTCCCTGAGCTGGGAATGAAGAGCAGCCTTCCTGTATGTGTAAACCAGCCAGTTCCTTAATGCCACCCTCCTTTACTTGTACTTGACTTTCTTCTCCCCCAGCAAATTCAACAGCTTCGATTCTGGGCCTTTGTGGGAGAGACAGGAATGACTTTTCCTGATCTGGCCAAGCTCTTGGCATGAATGACTTGGTTTCCTTTCTCATCTTCCCCTGTCCCTGTTCCTCTTCCTAACTCACTCCTCAAGCTACCCATGAGAGAATGGGTGTGTCAGGACAAGGTCGTGGGAAGAGGAGATGAAGAAATTCAGACCCTTCACTGAAGTGAAGGGGGCATGTAGGCCTGGATCTTGGAGAAATGGTCTTTTTTCTTGGGCTGCTATGGATTTTTGTGGGGACACAGATGTAAGAGGGTTTGGGTTCAAGCCTTGAGTTACAGCACTGCTTATTAGTTGGACTTACTGGGCAACTTATTTTTAACTCCTCTCAGCTTTTATTCCTCATCTAAGAAATGGGGTTATGAATCTCAGTGTACCTCACAGGGCTCAAATAAGATGAGTTTATTTATACATGGAACAGAGGATGGTTCCTGCCTCCCCCTGCCCCACCCTCCTTCTCTAGCTCAGTTAGAAGTGACTAGTACAGGGTGGTCCCCAGAGAGGCCTCTGTTTTGCTTAGTGGGTTTTGCTCTGAGTTAGCAGCTGGATGACTCAGGTGGATGACCCATCAGCCAGTGGGATGTACCGAAGGTCAGTTTCCCCACCCTGTGTCTGCTATGTACTCCTTGGTGGCAGTCTGGTGTCCTGGGAGAAGAGATCTTTGAGATGACTCTCCTCTTTCCTCCTCTTCACCTAACCAGGGCCTAGGAGGCGTGATCCTGTTCAAGACTAAGTGAACTTGCTGGCCTGGCCTATGGCCTGGTGGTGTGTGTGTGTATGTATGGATGTGTCTGGGGAGATGAAACCTATAGGGAGAGTGAGGCAGCCTTGTGCAATTCCGGCTGTGCTCCTCACAGGCCAGAGAACCTCAGGGTGTGTTTTAGCGCTTGTGTCCACCTTGGCTTGGAGCAGCACTCAGATTTGGGTTAAACCACGGGTGTTCCTGGTGTCTGTGTCCAGCTGCCTTTTGCTCCAAGATGAATGTGGTTGTAGCTGAGCTAGTTTGCCTAGAGGAAGTAGAGGAAGAGTTGAGGCCAAGAGTCCCGGGGGAAATGCCACTTGTGTTTTTCTCCATCATCTTTCCTCACCCATCATCTCTGGATCCTCCTCCTCTGCTGATGAAAATGCGTTTGAGGTCTCCTTCCATCCCTCCTGCTGGGGCAGCCCTTTTTCTCCCTCTTGGGAAAGCTGAGGTCTGCTTTTATTGTCTGGGGGCAGCTGGGAGTGGGTCCGCCCTGCTGGGGAGGATCGTGCTTCCACTTCCCTGCCCCCACTGACCAGCCCCTCTCGCCCCAGCAGGTAGAGCAGGTCCCTTTGCAGCCATGTCAGCCAAGGCGATTTCGGAGCAGACGAGCAAGGAACTCCTTTACAAGTACATCTGTACCACCTCAGCCATCCAGAACCGGTTCAGATATGCCCGGGTCACCCCGGACACAGACTGGGCCCGCCTGCTGCAGGACCATCCCTGGCTGCTCAGCCAGGTGAGCCCTCCCTCACCCTGGGAACTTCCTCCAGGCTCAGGGTCTGCAGAAGAGAAATCAAGTGGTTTATTGGAGATGTCCAAAGAGGTCACATAATCACAGACTGCCTGCATCAGTGGGCAGTGTGCAGTAGGCTGAGCGAGGTCTGGTGTTTGCTCTGGGCCCTGCATGTTGAAGTACCCTGGCCAGATGTACCCTGGCATGGGCTTAGAACCAGACAAATTGGTATCTGAATTGCAGCTCTCTGTTTATTAACCACGTGGCCTGGAGCAAGCCATTTCACATTTCTGAGTCTTCGATTCCCCATCTGTCAAATGGGGATAACAGTCACTCTATGAGCTGTAAGGATTAGTAATAATGTCCGGAAAGCTATTTAGTGTGCTGCCTGGTACTTGGTAGATCAAGCTCAACAAAGAGTAGGTGTGTGCCCTCCCCTCCCCCAAGTGCAGCATATCAGGAAGGTGTTGGGGCAATTAGAAAGTGTGACCTTGCACTTTGTGAAGAATAGCTGATGGCCAGGATCCTGGAAGGTTAGCATGGAGTAAAGGCTTCTGTCTTGATATTCCTGCAGTGCCATTGTTGGGTCTTATGCTTTTGCTGGGCCCAGAGAGCAGGACGAGGGCCAATGGTGGGGGTTTCCTTCCACTGTGAGGTAGCCCAGCCACAAAGGGAGCTGCCTTGGGAAGTGGTAAATTTCCTGGCACTGGAGGCATGTGAGCAGTGGCTAGGGGGTGCTTGTTGGCCTGTTGTAGACAGGGTTCAAGCACAGGGATGGAGTTGACAAGATGACCTCTAAGGTCCTTTGTCACTCCAAAGCTCTGTCTCTGTTCTTCCTTTTAGAACACAGGTGCTGGTCCATATTCTGAATAGTTTACAGTTGAATGAAGAAGCTAATATAGGCTGGCCAGTTAGCTCAGTTGGTTAGAGTGCAATGCTGATACCACCAAGATCCAGGGTTCGATCCCTGTACCAGCCAGCCACCCCCTCCCCCAAAAAAAGAAGCTAATATATCACACAGGGGAATAGGGAATCACTTATTCATTCAGCAGGTATTTGCTGAGCACCTACTGTGTGCCAGGCCCTATCCTGAGCACAGATGGCTCTAGATTCCTGGTTCTCAGAAGAAAGATATAGGCTCGGGTAGGGTGAGGGAAGCATCCAGGGGTTGACCCTGAAGGAGGAGTGGGGTTAGCTTTGGGAGTGGGGCGAATTGGAAGTCACCCAGGCTGTCTTGTAGTTTAGGTTCCCATACTGTCACCTCTTACTCTGTCTTCTCTTTCCTTGCTCTAAGTACAAACCCCTTTCATTCCAGAGCTTGGTAGTCAAGCCAGACCAGCTGATCAAACGTCGTGGAAAGCTTGGCCTAGTTGGGGTCAACCTCACTCTGGATGGGGTCAAGTCCTGGCTGAAGCCACGGCTGGGACAGGAGGCCATGGTGAGTCTGGCTATAGGGTTGGGGTGGATGTGCTGTGGTAGCAGAAGCAAACATGGTCACCTCCAGATGAGCAACACTGTGGGTCATCCCCACAAGCCAGTCACACTGCAGCCCAGGGAAGGCAGGAGTCCTGTGGAGCTGAGCCACCCAAGTGGTCTTAGGCAGCAGGGCCAGTCTTGGTGCTCATTCCCTCCTCCCCCATCAGGGAGTCCGAACTCCTTTTTTATTGGTTTGGGCAAGATATACCACAAAAGTAACCCCAATACAATTCAAGAGCCAGCTGGAAATGGTCTGTGTCTTTAAAAACGCTCATAGGTATGGGACTCCGAGGCCCATTCTGTGAAAGACTTTCTTTCCAGTTTCCAAAAAGTGTTATTGTGGTAGCTTGTGATGACATGCACACCTAAGAGGGTGAGCTAAAAAAAAGATGAAAAGGGGAGCTGCACAGTCATTTAGGTGGAGAGACGTGTTAGGCCAAGAACCTAGGATGAAATAGCTAATAATGCTGAGGGTAAATTCAGTTCTTGACTTCTCCCTGCTTGGTGATTAATTTCAACTGTATAGATGAGAGAACTAAAGTGAAATATGGCTTAGGAAGGCTGAGAGATGCTCAGAAACAACATTTTTCTTCTCCTCATTCCCCAAGGGAGCTGGAGAACTAAGGGAGGGAGTGGGCTGAGGTGTGGCTTAGCCTAGGAGCGATGTGTTGTCCATGCCTGGCTTTGTGTGCGTGGTTCTGAAGGGCCTTCCTAGAGTGAATGTGACCCCGGGATGAGCTGTTCTCTTCCTTGGCTACCTTGGAAGTAGCAATGAAGTTGGCAGTAGAGGTGTCTTCCTCCCTTGTTGGGCTTTGTCAAAGCAGCTCTTAATGTTAATTTCCCAATTTCTGGCCCTCATGGATAAAGAGGGATCCTTGAAGTTGCACATGGGCCTGGTTGTGGAGGGATCTGATCCTTGATGTCTCAGGCCTTTGGGGAGAGAATGGTGGGGTTGGGGGCTAAGCATGTCCCTAGGGAGCACATCATGCTCCCCTCTCTTCAGCTGGCTGCCGGGAGGATGATGTCAGGGATGTCTGAGCTGGCAGAAGCATCGGGCCAGCGGAAGCGGCTCATTACCTCTGATGGATTGCTGTCTGGTTCCTGACTCAGCAGTGACACACAGGGCGGGCGGGGGGGTTGGAACATACTAGGATGAGGACTGTCTCGCCTTTGCTGCCACCAGGGACCCACTCAAACTGATTAGCTCTGCAGGCCTGTTGTCCTCAGCCAGGAAAATCTCTTGACTTTCCTCTTCTCCCCCCGATTCCCCAGGCCTGGACTCACATCCTCAGGCTGGGTCAGTGCCTTTGCTGCCACCAGGGACCCACTCAAACTGATTAGCTCTGCAGGCCTGTTGTCCTCAGCCAGGAAAATCTCATGACTTTCCTCTTCTCCCCCCGATTCCCCAGGCCTGGACTCACATCCTCAGGCTGGGTCAGTATGCCTACCTCAAGGCAGACAAAGCAGGATGGTTGCCTTCTCTTCTACCCAAGTTCCAAGTCCTCTGGTCTCCCGGCCTGAGCTCAGGGATAGCCTTGATTTGTCTGAGCCCTTTAAATTGTGCGACAGCAGGGAGGGAGATGATTCCTGGTCACTGTGCTTTTTGGGGTGGGACAATGTTGCAGTTCATATATCACCCTCCAGAAGAGGCAGAAAAAGAATGGGCAAGGTCAGTACATGTGGAAGTATGGCTGGCACAAGGGCAAGGGCATGAAAGAGGGTATCTCAGGAGGACTTCTTGAGCTTAGGTATCTGTAACCCCATTGCCCTAGTTTCTGGAAACATCTCTCTACCGGGTGTTGTGGTAGTAGTGCTTGGGCCTCACGTCTGGGCGATCTCTCCTTCTGCCCTGGGGAGCAAGACCTGCCATGCATCTGCGCTTCATCTCTCTCAATTTCTCTGTAGGTTGGCAAGGCCAAAGGCTTCCTCAAGAACTTTCTGATTGAACCCTTCGTCCCCCACCGTCAGGTATGTGTGAGGAGGCTCCAAGCTGGGTCTTTTCCCTACTGAAGCTTTGTGTTTGCCCAACTTAAAATGATGAAAGGGGAAGTCAAGCTGATGGAGAAAATTCAAAGGGACCAGGGTCCCTGAAGCTGCACTGAGGCTCTGAGGGTACTACTGAGCAAGGAGTACAGAGATGAAAGAAGGGGCTTAGTTTGCAGCATGGAGGAATTAGGGCTGATAGTAGGGAGGACTGGCCAGTGCTGGGATGAGAAAGACTTGAAGGCAGGACACCATTCTCCAGATTGGGTCACACCAGATGGGGACTGTCAGCCAGTCAGGTTGTGGCCTCTCCTCTCTTCCTTGTCCCCAAGAGGAAGATAGTGAATGGGTCTCGTCTGGGTGACTGTTTTCTACTGGGCTTTAGAAATGAGACCACGGCGGTTGGGTTCCTGTCCTGGTGTGAGGCAGCCCTCATCTTCCCCGGCTCATGCCCTCACCAGCTTCATGCTCTCTTCACCTGCAAGGCGGAGGAGTTCTATGTCTGCATTTATGCCACCCGAGAAGGGGACTACGTCCTGTTCCACCATGAGGGGGGGATGGATGTGGGTGATGTGGACGCCAAAGCCCAGAAGCTGCTTGTTGGTGTGGATGAGAAGCTGAATCCCGAGGACATCAAGAAACACCTGTTGGTCCACGCCCCTGACGACAAGAAAGAGTTGCGTGAGAGGGATGGTGGGGAGGTGGCAGTGGGAATGGGAAGACCAACAGCTCTGGGCACAGACCAGGGAGGGCACCGTGGTCTTCTTTACTTGGGTGGCAGCAGGCGATAGGCACAGCCCTTGTCCTGGGGAAGAGAACTGAGTGCAGTGGTGGGGCTGACTCAGAATCAGACTGAAATATGCTGCCAGCGTCCCTCACCTTCTTGCCCTTGTCTCCTTGCCCAGGTGCCTCCTCCAGCTCCCTGCCTGACAGCTCCTTTCCGCCTCAGTGGCTGAAGAGCAATTTCCTGAGAGCAGGATTTGCAGAGGAGAGCAAGGGGCCAAGGGGCCAGCAGGGCGATGTTGGGACGTAGAGCTGTCAGTGGCAGTGACAGATTGCTGTGGGGGCACCTGGGGTGCTGCTGAGTCCGCTCCCTGATGGATTGACTGTCCCTCTCTCCCTCCCTCCCTAGAATTCTGGCCAGTTTTATCTCCGGCCTCTTCAATTTCTACGAGGACCTGTACTTCACTTACCTCGAGATCAACCCCCTTGGTAACTGGCTCTGCTGAGGGGCATGGGGCAAGGGTCAGTTATAACAGAGTCCCAGTGCCTATGGTAACCCTGGCCTTGGCTTTCAGAGGACCAGACCCCCATCTGCCAGAGGGCAATACAGGACAGGTGTGCATGTGCAGATGGATCTCCAAGCTCATTTAGTGCCGCCTCCTGATTCTGAGCTCTCAGAAGGCTATAATTATTCCTCTTCTAACCAATTTCATCTTCTTTCTTTGGTCTTAATTTGTTCTGTGATGGGAAAGTCCTGGTTTTGGTCTGACAGCATGCTATTGCTGTTCCTGCCAGTGGGTTAGGCTGTCTTACCAGGAGTGGGAGCTGCCTCTGCTTTGGTCCAACCCCTTCAGGCTCTTCTTTCCTCTCTGTGCACTCGGAGGCCCCTTTTCTCCCTCCGGGAAATTGGTTGGTCGATCATTGACACCCAACGCTGGGAAGAGCTTGGTCCAAGCCTGTTCTGCTACAAAGGAGGCAGGCGGTGTGAGGGGGAATGGTGTGGGCTGGCTCTGGCCTCGTCTTCTCAGGGCCAGGTTCAGGAAGCCGAGAAATCAAATCAGATTGCAACCATGGATGCAGCTCCTCTAATGGGCCAGATGGCCTTGTGTAACTTAATTAGCTAAATGGCCCCGGGGGAAAGGAAGATGGATGTCTAGTGAGGTGGCAATAAATGAATCCTCCTGGCAGGGGGCCCAGTGCACCCCACGGCTTCTCACTCCACCTGACCCTAAGGCTTTCTTTCCCCTGGCTGGACCCCAGGAAACCCAGATGTACATACTTAGGGGGTCTTCCAACAGCAGCGTGTACCTTAAACACTTCTTAAAATGGCAGGGCCGCTGTTGGGCTAATAGTTAGATACTTAAAGCAGGGAGTATAGCATTTTATCAAGATGTTTGAAAATTGCCATGGCAACCCATACAGACCTCCCTGTCCCATTACCTATAGTCAGGCACTGAGGAATGGTCTTGTAGAATTTGTTTTTCCTTTAGTGGGGAAAAACTGTGTCTCTAAGGACCATTCTGGTTTCTCGTCGAGCTCAGGGAGTTATTAGGTCTGTGTGGGTCCCTATGGGAGTGGTGTTTGGAGAAGTCTGGTGCAGGGTTTTGGAGGGGGGTGGTCTCCTCTGCCTGGAGCCTCTGTCTCATTGCCTCTGCTCTGCTCTCAGTGGTGACCAAAGATGGTGTCTACGTCCTTGACTTGGCAGCCAAGGTGGATGCCACAGCTGACTACATCTGCAAAGTGAAGTGGGGCGACATAGAGTTCCCTCCACCCTTTGGGCGGGAGGCGTACCCAGAGGTAAGGCTGGGTTGGAGAGGAGAGGAAAGTGGTGGGGCAGGGGGAGGATGACGAATCTCAGACCAGCACTTGTCCCCACTCATGGGCTGTACATTTGGCAGGGAAAGGAAGGCTGAGAACCATTTAATTTTCTTAAAACCCCAACGGGGTGGGGGTAGGAGTCAGCCAAACCTGAATCCTGGCCAGAAATCCTTTTAGACTTCTCTCCCAATCAACCTCCCGGGCTCTTAACTTGATCTGTTGCTTCTTGATAATTCTGAGTGGCCCCTAATCCTGTCAGGAAGGTTGTTCTCTGGCCACTCGCTGAGAATTTTCATTGCTCCTTCCCACCCCCTCCTCTGAAACGTCCTCACAGCGAGGTCAGGCCTTCTGTGAAGTAACCCAGGCCAAGGAAAGGGCTGGGCTGGCCTGGGGAGGGGACAGGGCAGGTGATAGCTAGGCAGGCTTGTTGGTGGAGGTGTGGCAGAAACAGTGATAGTGAGGCCATGGACGTGGGCAGAGGGCCAAGGGCGTGAAGCAGAGAAAGGAGTTGGGAAGTTTGTCCCCAGGCAGTGGCTGTGGGTACTTGGAGACATCCCAGGCATGTGAGGCCCCACGATGTCCCTTCTCCCCCACCCCCTTAAAGTGATAGAGTGACCTCTTCATGTGCCTCCAGGGAAAGGGGAGAGGTCCTGGGACATAGGACCTGGTGAAGGGAGCGTCCCAAGGGCTCACCTGTTTCCATCTGGTCCTTAGGAAGCCTACATTGCAGACCTGGATGCCAAAAGTGGGGCGAGCCTGAAGTTGACCTTGCTGAACCCCAGGGGGAGGATCTGGACCATGGTGGCTGGGGGTGGTGCCTCTGTTGTGTACAGGTGACTGATCGGGGCTGTGGAAGGCATGCCAGCCACTCACTGTGGAGTGGGGCAGACAAAAGCGGTGGCATCCCAGAGGGCTTCGAGGGACTCTGGTGTTTCCTGCTTCAAAATTGAGTTTATTTTTATGAGTTTTAGTTGTCATAATTAGTATTTATTTTATGAGTTATAGTTCTTATAATTAGTGACATGTGCTCCATGCAAAGGTACTACAAATATAGAAAACGAAGTAGGAAGTGAAAGTTGCCACCCTCTCCCCGACTAGGCCACCCTGGTGAGCACATTATTTGTATGTATATCCTCCCAGGTGTTTTAATGCCAGTGTAAATACTTATTTGTACTTTTTGACTTTATAGAGATTCCGGGATCATATTCTACATACACCCTTTTCTATAATTAGCAATTTTATCACTTAAAGCATAGTAGACATCTGCTTGTTTATAGACTTATAACTTGCCACATTCCCTTCTGGGGTTGGCTGGCACTCTTTCCTCTGGCTGCAGCATAGTTTTCTCTGTTGGGCAGCCTGGCAGGGACTCCTGCAGTGTCCGATTTTTCTTGTCCTTGGGTTAGGAAGGAGTACATTGTTCATTGTACCTACCATTGTCTGTCAAGGCCCCCCGATGCCCTGGGGCTGGCAGAGTGCACTGCCTAGGAGAGTCTGAGGTAGCACGGTTAACTTTCAAGTGAGACTTGCATGGGGGGTGAGGGTTGGAGGTCAGAGGGGCTGGTTCCGTAGACTGACTTCAGTGTTTGTGGGGGTGTCCTCTCATGCACCAGACTGCCACCCTCTGCCCCAAGAATTGTTTGGAGCCAGCACTGACTTCTGTGTCTCCCTGGCAGTGATACCATCTGTGATCTCGGGGGTGTCAGCGAGCTGGCAAACTATGGAGAGTACTCGGGTGCCCCCAGCGAGCAACAGACCTATGACTATGCCAAGACGATCCTTTCCCTTATGACCCGAGAGAAGCACCCAGATGGTGAGATTTGGGTGTGCACACCCACCCACACATACCCGCACCCCTTCTCTAAGAGTGGCCTAGCCTGCTGCAGTGGGAACAGCTTTATGCTAGGGGTCACCGAGACTGTGGTCCCGGTCCTTTGCAATTTGGGGCTAGTCATTTAACTTCTGGATCTCAGTTTTCCTGACTGCACAATGGGCAGTGACTGCTTCTATCAGCTGGGGGCTGTGAGCGAGCAAGGAGGCGATTTGTAGCGGAGCCCTGTACACGGGTGTGAGGGAGGAGGAGGGGCGGTGGCGTGCACTTGCTCTGACTGCTGTAAACTCAGTTCTTAGTGACCCTCTTGGGTGTCATCCAGGCCGGGTAACTCCCAGCATTCCTTTACCACCTGCCCAGTGTTTTGAAGCTACCCACACCCGTTCCCTGTCCCTTAAGCCAGAGAGAGATTCCCACCAGGGGTATCTAGAAACCACACCAGATTTCTGGGTGCCAAGTAGGAATAACATAGAGAGCCTTTGGGTTTGGATTGACTACTGCCCAGTGGCGCAGATGATGGCGTGTTGGGCTGATACAGCTGAACAGACATCAGGGGAGACCATCCTACTCATGCCCTGACCCCTCCTAAAAGTTGGGGGACCGTCACTCAGAGGAAAGGTTTGCATTTCTTGGAAGGTATACAAGTCTACCTCTCTAACTGTGTTCTGACTTCTTATTTACTCCAAACCCAGGCAAGATCCTCATCATTGGAGGCAGCATTGCAAACTTCACCAATGTGGCAGCCACATTCAAGGTAATCAGCCACAGCAATGGTGCAGATTCTGGGGAAAGTAGGTTTGGGGAGCAGGGAAAGGGTCTCACAAGGAAGATTTGAGCCAGAGGCAAGTTCCCATGAGCTGTCCAGTCTGGGTAGGGGTTCTTGCCCCAGGGTCTCTTGTTGGGGGAGGAGAAGACACTGGAGTAGGAGATGTAGGTTTGAAGCTGTGTGTCTCTGATGCTCGCTGGACCATAATTCTACCATCCGAAGCATGGGGAGAAGGCAACTTTCTGCTTTCCTCCTCTCAGAATCATTTCTTGGAGGGCCGGACTGGTGGCGTACTCGGTAGAGTGTGGTGGCGCTCCCGCCGAGGGTTCGGATCCCATGTAGAGACTGGTCTGCTCACTGGTTGAGCGTGGTGCGGGCGCAACACCGAGGGTTGCGATCCCGTTGCCGGTCGCGGTGTGGGCACAACACCGAGGGTTGTGATCCCGTTGCCGGTCGCAGTGCAGGCGCGACACCGAGGGTTGCGATCCCGTTACTGGTCATGAAAAAAGACAAAAAGGAAAGAAAAAAAGAATCATTTCTTGGAGAGCTGGCTCAATTGATCCTCATTTTCAGCACTCCATGTAAAACTCGCTGGGTTCTCTGCAACTCCTGGTCTTTTATCTCTTGTCATCAGCTCCTTCTCCAAAAGATAGGAATGAGGAAAGTGTTTTGATGACCTGAGGCTCCTGCTTGTCCAGTCAGGGTCCCGTCAGCCTGGGTCCCTGTGTGTGGGTCAGGGCTGTGTGCACATGCTTTAAAGAAAACCTGACTACTGGTCCACCAGGATGACAGCTAACGTGTCGTGAGAGTCATCCCCTTCAAGATAGCTGCCTCAGGAGGCCATTCCATATCATCAGATGCCCAGTGAGGCTATTCAAGAGGATGCGCCTCATCTAGTAGTTCCATATAAGTTTCGAGAATAGTGTATCAGTAAGTATCAACCTTGAAAGTCTGAGCTCTCAAGAAGTGAGGGACCCGGCCTCATCAGTCCTGCCTGAAACAAGTCTCCCTAATGGTCCTGACTCAGCAGACAAATCTGAAGCTTTGTTTCAACTTCTGAGCAGCCCTGCAGTTAAGGCAGCTCCCTTGATCTGGGTGGTTAAGTCTGGAGAAGGAACTACTGTGTGTAGAGCTTTGTGTGAAATGCCTTGGGTGACAAGGAGTTAGACTCCAGACTCATAAACTAGCTCTCCGTCTGGACAGACAGCTGGTATGGTACACACCTTCCCATCCTCCCATTTTTTCCAAAGTGGATAACAATTGTAAAGTTTCCCAAGATCACTTGAAGAAGCTTTTGTAGGACCTTGACACTGAAGAAGACTGCATCTTGCTACCTCTGAGAACCTTTGCATGGGACCCTGGCATAGATTTCCCACCCCTTCCTGCCCCCCAAATTGTAATAAGAGATAAGAGCAACGGGACAAGAGAGATACTGGCAAGGCCCTGCTGATGTTAGAGGTCCGGCACCCCAGTGCATTGAGGGGTTATTCCTGGGTACCCCATATTGCCACCTTGGCAACATCACAAATGATTGAATGTCCTGTGCCTTTGGGTTGCTTGTGCATAGTCCAGTTGACATGTGTACAGACAGTCCTTGATCACGGGGCCTGCCATGAGAAGTAGTGCTTGTCATATACACCTGGTACATTTATTTATCATGGTTATAAATAATTGACTTATGCTGCCTTGTGTTTTTAGTCACGTCTCTGTTGTCCCTTTGGGCTTCCAGGGCATTGTGAGAGCGATTCGAGATTACCAAGGCCCCCTGAAGGAGCATGAAGTCACAGTCTTTGTCCGAAGAGGTGGCCCCAACTATCAGGAGGGCTTACGGGTGATGGGAGAAGTCGGTAAGATGGGGGGCCTTTTCTCTCCTTCCCACCTTGAGTGTGGGTGGCTTGCCTCTTTGGGATGCCTGAAAGAGAGTTCATCTTTGGGCTCTTTCATGCTCTCCTACTCCCCTTTCTGGATATTCAGCTCTCTTCTTCTTCCGTTCTCTGCCCCCCCCATTCTCCCCCCACCCCGTGCCTGTCCTAAATCTCAGAATGGGCAGGAAAGCATTTTTATTCAGCTGTACACTTAACAAATATTTACAGAATGTCTGCTTTGCTGGGCACTATGCCAGGCACTTGGGTTACAGCCACAAACCTGACAGACAGCACAACGTTGTGGAGCTTAGGACCTTAACCATAATGTCAGGGAGTGCTGAGTGCCATGAAGAACGAAGCTGGGAGAGGGATAGCATGTGTAGAAGGGGATGGGCGCTTTCAATAAGGTGATCAGAAAATGCTTGACCAAGAAGGTGACATTCAAACAGAAACCTGGAGGAGAGGCAGCAGTAGCTCAGTGGTGACTGTCTGCAGAGGAAAGGGCATGTCCCAGGGCCCTGTGCTGGGAGTGGGCCTGTGTGTGTGGGACCAGCAGGGAGGGCCGAGAGAGAGGCAGCGGGAGCAGACAGGGCGGGGCCATGTAGGTCCCGGGAGGACTTGGCTGTGACCCTGGGATGGCAGCCATGGGAGGACTTTGAGCAGAGGAGTGACATAATTTGACTTAGGTTGGAATAGGGTTATTTCGCTGCTGGGTGGAGAGTAGAGGGCAGGGTGGCCAGGGTAGAAGCAGGGAGACTACTCTGGTGGCCTGCACTGAGGAGGCAGGGGTGGCAGGAGACAGGAGATGGAACACTTGTGGCCTAGATGCGGGGACAAGAGGAGAAGGGCCAAGCAACTGGTAAAATCAGAGAGAGTTGCTCCTTGAGATGCAGGAGAAGAGGGGGGTGGCATCCATTTTGGTTTCTTTTCTTGCTTCTGCATTTTGAGTGTTTCGTGCAGGTTTATGACACCTCAAACACAGAGTTTTAGGAAGTCAGGGACCATGTCTTGTCAGAACTAAAGTGGTGTCTCCCTAAGTCAACCTGATTGAACCTGAAACAAGTGAGCTTGTGACCAGCAGCTTTGGTCTTAAGTGCAGCCCCCAACGCTCGGAGCAGTCTTTGTGGAGCAGGCTTCACGTGACATGCCAGAGGGGCGACAGATATAAGATGCTCGTCCAGTGAGCTTGCCCTCTGATTGGAGAGAGGAAACCTTTCCATCCTCCATTTTTCCAAATTTGGTATCCGCGGCAAACACTACATCCCTTTAAGTTACTTGCAGTGATACCAAGTCCTGGTTTTCCTTCATTCATGTAAAACTGTGGGCCAGGCCCTGGGGACAGCACAACAAATGCTGCCAGATGGTGCTCTCACAATTGGAACAAGTAAACAGTGGAAGAGGGCTTTGCAGGAGAGTAGCCATCAGGTAGGGAAGGCCTTTCTCAGGAGGCGGCTTAACTTGGGTTAAGCTGAGTGACAAGAGCAGCCAGGGGAAGCTCTGGATCAAGAGCGCTTCATGCAGAAGGAGGAGCAGGGCCAGAGCCCCAGGGACATGGGTGTTTAGGAGTAGAGAAATTAGGCCGTGCTAGCAAGCTGGAGTGTGTGCGCGCAGGCAGTGAGGGCTGAGGGGGTTGGAGAGCCAGCCCCGGGTCCTGAGCGGGAAGAGTGCTCACTCTGATCACTTGAGGCTTGCCAATAAAGCTGTTTCTTACTCTTCTTATCAGCAGGTGGTCTTTAGAAAGATTCTTTTGGTGGTGAAATTTTTTTTCTTTTCTTTCTTCTTCTTGCAAAGAACTGGCAGTGGGTTGGCTAGTTGGCTCAGCGGGTTAGAGCATGGTGTTATAACACGAAGGTCAAGGGTTTAGATCCCTGTACTGGCCAGCCACCAAAAAAACCACCAAACAACTGGCAATGGTGGTGAAATTTCAACAGCTGACTTGTCCTAGAGAATTGGTCTTGCACCAAAAGTGCCAGACTGAGCAAGGCTGTAAAGACACCTTTGCAGAGTCAGGGGGCTGCTTACTGGAAGACTTGAATGATGGATTTTTTCTCCTTCCTTTACAGGGCGTCCCACCTGGGCTGGCGGAGGTGGATGGAAGGTGGTTGGGGCTTTGCTTTGGGAGTGGGACATGGGGACGAAATGATGCAATCCTTCCCCATGTGCTCTCTGAGGTCGAGGACGCCCACTGTGCTGTGTCACTTCTATCTCCGCCCCTTCTACCTGCCTTCTTCCTGTGGGGTGTGAGTGGGTAGGGAGGCTGTCGAGGAGACGGGCTACAGAAGTACCAGAGGTGAAAAGCTCTCTGAGACTCTCCTCCTAAGTGGAGGGCAGGAGCTGGGAGCTCGGGATGGCAGAGCGTGGCAGAGCATGGCAGAGCAAGCTCCTACACTAGCAGTTTCCACCCCAGTCCCGCCATCCTGGGGCTCTTACTCTTTTTTCTTTTTGGCGGCTGGGGGACCTGAATCCTTGACCTTGGTCTTCATAACACCACACTCTAAGCAACTGAACTAACCAGCCAGCCCCCAGGGCTCTTACCAAGACATTCCCTCCTCTGTGAGCCCCGCGTGAGAAAACACCTTGTCTGCCAGCCCGTCTGTACTTCACCCCATTCTTCTGTCCATCCTCTGATCCATCTAGACGTGATCCCTGCCCACCAGCCCTTGCAGCCAGCATTAGGTAGGCCGTGGTGGCTACCAGTGGGCTGATGTGGCCTGTGCATCCTCTTCCTGGTACAGACAGACTTTGCTTAAGGTATTTTGGGAAACAGTGACACTAGCTCCAGGGGCTCAAGATCAGGAGGCACAGCCCCGCAATCCCCAAACCAGCAGCTTCACCCACAGCACAGAATGACGGGTGCAAACCCGTGCTGCTCTAATCATCTTTCTGTGCCTCTTGGAAAAAGAAAGGGATTGGCACGAAGAGGGTGGGACTGGCCAGCCAGAGAGCCCAGATGGGAGGACAAGTCACCCAGCTGTCCCTCCAGAGGGCCTGGGGGAGGTGTCAGTGGTGCATCCTCCTGCCCCCTCTCGGTCTGCTCTCTTTTCCTGCTTCTGTTCTGCTCAGTGGTGTTCTCACCTCTTCCGTTGGCTTTACTCCTCCTGTCCATTGTGGAATAGACGAGAGATGGTGAGGGTGTCAGTCCTGAAAGGCTCATCCATGGGACCCTTCCCCGTTCCCACCCTCTGCCTGCAAAGCCTCCAGCCATCAGTGGGTCACTCAGTTGCTCTGGTCATTTTCTTTGACAGATTCAGTCCCAAGTCCAAGATCCCTGCAAGGTAGGATTCCCCCACCTGCCCCAGCTCTGCGTGTGGCTTTGTTAGCGGGTTGCAGTTTTCCTGTGTGATTTGTTTCCCCCTCCCCTGGTGGGTTGCAGTGTTGTCTGGTATATTTTCTGTCCCTGCCTCGGTGTGGCTTGCCCCCAAGCCCTAATCTTCACTCTTCCTCCCCTCAACCCTTGCTGAGTACACACACCCACCAGCTCTCCTCACTGTGTGGCTGTCTTGGGCTCTGCATTTGGGATGGGGGTGGAGATGGTGGAAAAAGCGAGAGCCAGACCCACAGCTCTGGAGAGTGGGGTGGTGTCAAGGAGGGAGGGTTGCCTTGGAAGGAGAGAGCCATCTGACTGAAAGAGGAGTGGCAGAGAGCAGTGGGCATCTGTCACTTCAGGTGTGCAGGAGGGGAGTCACAGGTCACCCTGCTCCTCATTTACATCTCAGGAGGTCATTGTCTTCTCACTTCCTGCCTCAACTTCACCACTGCCAACTTCACCCCAGAGCTCTTAATACCAGGGTCAAGTTTAGATTTTCCCCAGGGATTTGGTATACAGGATAGATATAGGAGAGAGATCGAAACCTGGAAGGGTATGCGGTATATCTATAGACAGGGTAATTGGAAAGGATCTGCGCTTTGATGTGTAAGGTCATGTTTTACAATGGACATTTTCTGTGCACGCACACATCCACAGGCACATGAAGAAACACACACTTGCCCACTGGCCCAGGTGAGTAGATTAATCACTTCAAAGCATCAGGGCTAACACATATTTATTTATTTTTTTTTTAAAAGATGACTGGTAAGGGGATCTTAACTCTTGACTTGGCGTTGTCAGCACCACACTCTCCCAAGTGAGCTAACCGGCCATCCCTATATAGGGATCCAAACCTGTGGCCTTGGTGTTATCAGCACCACACTCTCCCAAGTGAGCCACGGGCTGGCCCCTCAGGGCTAACATTTAACTTGCTGACATTCACAGCTGTGGGGCTGGGGAAGTGTTTCGAGATGACTTTGATCCCTTGCTAAGTAGAGGGGAAGGAATAACCATGCAGGGTCTCTGATAAGGCCATGGACGCAGCCTCTGTCCACCTGTCTTTAATCCCTGCATTGTCTGCCTCTGGCAAGATCCAAAGTTACCTAAAAGGCAAGACCAGAGTCTGAGCCCCATGCGGAGAGAACAGGGACAGACTCCAGTTCTCAGAGAGCTCATCTACCAGAGGCAGGGAGGTTGTGGGGACAGGATTTTTTTCTCATTACTCTGTCACTTGGCCATGCCAAGAACTGAGAGAAGGAAAAGGGAGGTGGGTCAGGGAGGGAGTCTTCCCTTCAGTGGGAAAGGAGGAGCCTGAAGGGGCAGTGAGTCCTAGGAGCAGAGATTCTCTTAAGGGCCTCTTTGCTGCTGGTGGGCTGAGGATCGGCCGCTTCTGCTTTGGTTTCTCTGCTGTCTGCACGATAGCTCTTCCCTTTTGTGCTGGAGGTGTGCCTGGCTTGTAGAGATTCCAGGCCTTGTCCTGATTTCCCTGGCCTCTTGGGGGGACAGACACGTGTGTGTGCACATGCACGCACTCTGACTAGGGTGTGGGCTCCCCCTGAGAATGGCAAGTGTCAGCCGGGCTGATTTATATTCTTCCTCCTCAGTTGCACAGTTGAGCTGCATCTTAAGTTATTATGCAATCCTGGCTCTGATTCTGGATGACCTAGGACTTCAGTCATTTGACATCTCTGGGCATCAATTTCTGGGGACTGGAAAGTACGAAAACTAGATTAGGTGGCTTCCCTTGTTCTGTGATCTCATGTCTCATCAGAACCCTGGTGGGTCCAGGTGACAGTAAATCCAGGTATTTGCAACACCAGGAGCCTTCTGTCATGAGAAGCTTATGGCTGTGATGGAAGAGGCAAGCCTGTAGAGGGATTTATTTTATTTTATTTTATTTTATTATTTTATTTTATTTTATTTTATTTATTTTATTTTATTTTATTTTATTTTATTTATTTATTTATTTTATTTTTTATTTTATTTAATTTATTTATTTTATTTATTTTATTTTATTTTATTTTTTTATTTTATTTTATTTTATTTTATTTTATTTTAATTAAGATGACCGGTAAGGGGATATTAACCCTTGACTTGGTGTTGTTAGCACCATACTCACCATTTTATTTTATTTTATTTTATTTTATTTATTTATTAAGATGACCGGTAAGGGGATATTAACCCTTGACTTGGTGTTGTTAGCACCATACTCACCCAGTGAGCTAACTGGACACCCCTATATGGGATCCGAACCCATGGCCTTGGTATTATCAGCACCACACTCTCCCGAGTGAGCCATGGGCCAGCCCCGTAGAGGGATTTAATCAGATCTTGAACTTGGCTAGCTAAGCCTGCACTAGTATAGTAAGTTAATTAATACCAGATGCCACTGGGCTAGATGCATTTTCTCCCTGGGGAAGCTCAGAACCTCCCCTGAGGGCTGCTTTCCTTTACGTGGACTACCAGGAGCCGGAGGGGAAGGCCCCCTCCCTGCAGGATAGTGGAGGGTCTGTTCCCTTCAGGCTGAAGCCTGTGCTTTTGCCAGCTCCTTTTGTTCCCTTCTTTTGCCCCTCACCTCTCCTGCCTGTAGGAGAGCCTGTCCAAGAGGCTGTGCTAAGCAGGAAAGAGCCACCTGGTAGAAGGGAGGAGGATGGAGGAAAGGAGAGAGAAAATGGGGGCACTGTGCTGCCAGTTGGCAGCTCCTGCCTGTGCCAGAGTCCTGGCTAGAACCTCAGCTGGAGAAAAGGCTGCCCTGTCCTCAGCCCCAGGTGCAGCAAACCTCTTCATCGGACCTACACTGACCTAGAATTCCTGGGGATTCAAACCCTGACCAGGGCTTGTTTTATGTCCAGATTTACAGGTGATAAGTATTGTCAGGGTGTTGTTTATAAGTCCTGAGGCCACCAAAATTGAGAGAACTTAACATATTTTTCCAGTGACTTTAAAAATAATTTATCAAGACCTCATTTGTGTATAACCTGTTTACGTCTTGCCTGTGAAATTAATCAGCTCCTGTAGGAATTCTCCTCCTGGGCATCTTTGGCTATGGGCCTGTTCTCTGTATGGGGAGTCCTTTCTCTGCTCATTGTCGGGCTATTTACCAGCCAGGCAGGTCCTCTTAGCTCTTTTTGCTTCCTCTGCTGCCTCCTTCCAGAAAAATTGAGGCACCTCCTCCTCGAGATCTCAAAATTTCATCTTGACATTCCTTTGTGGTTTTGATGAGCCACCATCCTGGACTTGGGGCGTGAAGGGGTCTAGCAGACAGCCCCTGCGGGTCTCGTGGGGTGTGTATTCTGGGTGCACTCGCTGTGTCTTTGCCCACCAGGAAAGAGTGCCACCCTCTTCAGCCGCCACACCAAGGCCATTGTGTGGGGCATGCAGACCCGGGCTGTGCAAGGCATGCTGGACTTTGACTACGTCTGCTCCCGAGACGAGCCCTCGGTGGCCGCCATGGTCTACCCTTTCACGTGAGTCACACTGCAGCAGGAAGCATGGAGAGAGCTGACATGCAGGGTTTCCTCACCTAATCTCCCTCTGCCCAGACAAAGCTTGGGGAGTCAGCCAGCTCATCCCCTTTGCTGAGCTGATATTCCCAGGGGATCTTTTTCCCCTTAGATGGAAACTCTTTGAGGGCAGAGACCTTGCCTTTTCCACCTTCCAGGTGAACTTTCTCCCCTCAGCTTCCCCCTCCCCAGTCCTGACAGATTGAGGGTATCCTAACTCCTTCTCCCACCTTCTCACAGTGGGGACCACAAGCAGAAATTTTACTGGGGACACAAGGAGATCCTGATCCCTGTCTTCAAGAACATGGCTGATGCCATGAAGAAGCACCCAGAGGTAGACGTGCTGATCAACTTTGCCTCCCTCCGCTCTGCTTACGACAGCACCCTGGAGACCATGAATTATGCCCAGGTAGGCCACTGGGCCCTGGGGTGGAGGGCTGGGAGGCAGGAGAGACTCCCAAATGGTGTCCACAGTCCCTGCCACCTGGACCAAAATGCTTGGGATTTGGGAGAGGCCAGTGGTTTGGTGAAAGTGGTTAGAGTCTTGTGAACTTCAGGAGTCAGGATGACGACCAAGGGCAGATGGGACCAGGTGGGGTTGCTTACTTGGGCTTACAAAGTCGGTTCTGGCTCATCTGCCTCCACCAGATCCTCTCCGTGCTATCCAAGACTGGCTCGGAAAACAGCAAAAAGCACTTTCTTATTACACAAATATTACCTATTTATGATATAAAAATTTTTAACTGCTGATAAATAAAACGAAGAAAATAAATACTTGGCTGCTGATGTTTGAGTATGTCCTTATCCACACCTTTCACTGGATTTGAACAAAATCAGTTAATATTGTACAAAACTATTGTACAATCTGCTTTCTTCAGTTACTTTTCCCACACCTATAAATATTTATTGGCAACATCATTTTTGCTTTTTAAAGTCTTGTGATGGGCATCTCGGATTAACATTTGCATATATCCTTAATTATTCCCCTAGCATAAATTTCTAGAAGTCAACTGCTGCATTAGAATGTGCAGATTTGAAAGCCTTTGATATCCTGTCCTCAAGAAAGGTGTTGATGTAAAACTCCCTTTGGTAGTTTGAGAGTGCCTGATTCCCTAAACCCTTGCCAACATTTTGTTTGTTTGCAAAATTAATAGGCATGCTGCTTAATTTGCATATCTTTGATTATTAACTAAGATGAGCTTTCAAAACATTGATTGGCTATGACTTGCGCTTCCTCCCTTTTTTTCTATCAGGGTGTTTGTGCTTTTTTTTGTTATTAATTTGTAAAAGCCCATTATAGATTAGGATATTGATTATTTTGTTCAAAATTATTGTCTGTTCCTACAATGGCTTATTTCAGTTTTTGACTGGAGAACATAAAATTGTTTTGATATCTAGGTGAATGAAAAAGAAAGCACATCTGCTCAAAATGAGCTGCTCTTTTAGTCTAAAGCAGAGGTTGGCAAACTATAACCTGTTTTTATAAAGAAATTTTTATTAAAACTTGGCCATGCTCTCATTTATATATTGTCCGTGGCTGCTTTCATACACAGAGGACTGCCACAGAGACCACAATGACCCACAGAGTCTAAAATGCTATCTTAACTCTTTATAGAAGTTTGCTGGCCCTGGTCTTGAGCCAAAGAGAGATGATTCTTGGATCTATCCTGCCCCCCCCTCCAGCCCACTCTCTGGGTTGAGAGGGGAAGTAGCTCATTTCTCTCACAGGCCCTGTCCTGTGGGGACCTAGTCAAGACTCAGAGGGTACTGCTGAGAAAAGCCATAGATAGCTGCTTTATGAGCAAGCAAGAGGACAGGGTAGGGAACAGGTAGGTCTGGATTGTGGGGAGAGAGAGAATGTTGCAGCTTTGACTATAGCAGGGTTTCAGAAACATCGGCTTCTTTACTGCATCACAGTGGTGATAAATGGTGACCAGCTTCGGGTGTCTGCCACCTCTCTTTTTGGGAGAGGGTTAGAGTGATCAGGGTAGGAACAGAGGTCTGTGGGAAGAAGGAAGTGCATATTCTTAACACGACTTTGTTCTGGAGCCTGGAAGGGGGCATGGGAGGTGGGCCCTTGAACAGTGCTGCCTCATTCCCTTGTGAGGTGGAAAGTCAACAGGAAGGAACTGAAAGGAACTATCTCATCCTCCAGATCCGGACCATTGCCATCATAGCTGAAGGCATCCCCGAAGCCCTCACAAGGAAGCTGATCAAGAAAGCAGACCAGAAGGGTGTGACCATCATCGGACCTGCCACTGTGAGCTTCCCCTCTGAAAAGCCTTTTAAGTTCAAGTCTATCTTATGAAGTTTAAGGCCCTTTGAAATCTCATTTTTTGACTCTTCTGTCTCTCCTAGGTTGAAAAGATTTAGGGAGTACCTGTTGAAAGTCAGTCTGTTCATTTCCAGTTAATTTTTTAAAGGGTTCTCTCCATAAACTATCTTTATAGTTTCAAGGGACTAACAAGAAGTTGTTTTTGTTGCAGTATTTGTTTACCTTCATAAAACTGTAGCATAGTCTTTGATTATTACTTTAAATATAAATCAAAAAAACCCCCAAAACTTCTTGGAGGCTTTATATTTTGACCCAGAGGTCTTTACATAAGAAGATCTTTTGAATATCTTTTTGTTAGTTTTTTCTTAGTTGTTGCATTAAAAAGTTGAAGTTAGGATTTGTGAACTAAGCAAGGGACCTTTCATCTCAGAGGCAGGGGTGCTTTTGAGCAGGGAAGCACGGCTGTGTTTTATACCTCTGCTGGCTGCTGTGGCCCCTCTGGAGCAAGGGAGGTAACTTCACTTTGAGCATAGTGAGCCATGTTCTTCCTAAGCAGAAAACCCAGTGGGTAGGTTCTGGTTCTCTTGGCCATTTCCTCCTGGGCCTGGCTAGAGCGGGCAGGGCATTTATGGGGGCTTTGTGATTCCCCTGAGCCCTCTGATCAGTTAGGAAGCCACCTTCCTCCCTGACTGCTTTTTCTCTTCCTGCAGGTTGGAGGCATCAAGCCTGGGTGCTTTAAGATCGGGAATACGGGTGGGATGCTGGACAACATATTGGCCTCCAAACTGTACCGCCCAGGCAGCGTGGCCTACGTCTCACGCTCTGGAGGCATGTCCAATGAGCTCAACAACATCATCTCTCGGACCACAGATGGCGTCTATGAGGGCGTGGCCATTGGCGGGGACAGGTAATCAGCTGGGGGACCAAGAAGGGGCCTCCCACATTGAGAGTGTGTGGGTTGGGAGACTGGACACTGGGTCCTCCACTGAGTTCCAGGCCTAGAGGAATGTTGCTTAAGGCCATAAAGTGGGGCGTGTCTGCTCTTGTCTCAGGAGTGACAGAGCAGGAAATCAGAAATACAGGGAAATGTGTTTTTAAATGTGTTTCAGGGCATTGGGGGTATTTCTGTTTGTTGTCTGAGATGTGGCCTCAGAGAGGCAGCAGAGTGTGGTGGGCTGGAGGGCCAGATCTGAAATCAGAGCAAAGCAGTTCAAATCCCAATTTCACTGTTTACCACAGGGGGCATTCTGGGTGGGCCAACCTCCCAATACTTCCATCATCCTTACATATGAAATGGCTAAAATAATAGCTCCCACCTTGTGGGGATGTTGGGAGGACAACAGACATATGGGAGGACATATAAGGCAATATATGTAAACTGGCTAACACAGGGCCTGGTGCTTAACTTAGCAGGTGCTCAGTTAGTGTTAATTGTAGTTAGTAATAGTATCTTTGTTATGTTTGTTAGTGGGAATAGTGATCAGTAGGTCATCAAAAGAGTGATATCTTAGAGTAATGCCTGACACTCAGTAAGTCCATAATAAGTGTGAGCCGTACTGTTTCTTATTATTACTGCTAGTATTACTGCTACTGCTATTTGGCTCAGAAATCAAAAGCTACTGGAGAGTGAGTCACCTTGTCCATCTTCCTGGCTCTACCAAATCATTTCAGATGGGATGCCTGTGAAGCACTCTTCGCCAAGATCTCCAGAGCTGTGGCTCAGGGAACCCTAGTCCCAGAGTCCTCCTTGACCACAAGCTCCAAGCCAAATGAGTTTAGGAAATGCTGGTTGTCAGACCATCCTCTTATATTTATGATGCTTTTGAGCATATAAAAAAAAAAACCTGCAGAGAAGCCTGCTTGGCATTAAGCAATCCTTGTGCAAACTCATAAGTCATTAGAAAATAGAAAAAATGTATAGGGCCGGCCCATGGCTCACTCAGGAGAGTGTGGTGCTGATAACACCAAGGCCATGGGTTTGGATCCTATATAGGGATGGCCGGTTTGCTCACTGGCTGAGCGTGGTGCTGACAACACCAAGTCAAGGGTTAAGATCCCCTTACCCCATTCATCCTTTTTATTTATTTATTTATTTATTTATTTATTTATTTATTTTGTCCTTTTTGAGACCAGCCGCACCACGCTCAGCCAGTGAGTGCTGTGAGCGCACCGGTCATCCCTACATAGGATCCGAACCCGCGGTGGGAGTGCCGGTGTGCTCCCAGCGCCTCACTCTCCCGAGTGTACCGCGGGCTCGGCCCCCCATTCATCCTTTTTTTTAAAAAAAAAAAAAGAAAGAAAAGAAAAGAAAAAATGTATAGAACTTCTAGCAATAGCCTGCCATCCTCGGACATAACTCAACACATTGTATTAATTATCTCTTGCTTTGTAAAAAAAAAAAAAAAAATCACTTCAAAACAAAGTGGCTTCAAACAATGATAAATATTTATCTTTGAGGTTTCTGTGGCTCAGGAGAGGCTTGATTGGACAGCTCTGGCTTGGGGTGGAGGGTCTCGTGAAGTTGCTGTCCGGTGTCAGCAGGACTGCAGTCCCCGAAGGCTTGCCCCAGGCTGGAGGTGGCTTACTCTCATGTCTGGCAAATTGGTTTTTCTCTGTGGGCTTCTCCATAGGCTGAGTGTCCTGAGCACATGTGGCTAGTTCCCCCCAGGGTGAGTGATTCAGGAGAGAGTGCCTAGCACTCTCGTATAAGTGTTCTTATAACCTAGTCTTGGAAGTCAGTGTCATAGAATCACTTCTGCCACATTCTGTTCATGAGATTATTATTAAGTCTGACCCATATCCAGGAGGAGAGGTGTCAGGTTCCACCTTTTTCAAAGAATTTGTGGACATATTTTACAACTACCACACGTGTGCTTTCCACAGCATCTCCTACTGCTGAGTGAACCTCTCTGGGCTTATTTTGTGCCCAGTCTCTTCCTCTGCAAGTTAAATAACTCTCCTTCCCTCCCTTCCCTTTCGTTCCACTTGCTACCTTCCCCCTCCCAGCTCCCCATTATTCCTAGGGCATCTCTGGGTCCTCATTGGCCATCCACAAACACAAAAACATCTAGCTTGCCTAGTACAACAAGTACACATGTTGCTCTCCACACCTGCATACACCTCCCCGAGCCTTCTCATCCTATAGTCCTCCCTGTTCTCAACAGGTACCCTGGCTCAACATTCATGGATCATGTGTTACGTTACCAGGACACTCCAGGAGTCAAAATGATTGTGGTTCTTGGGGAGGTGAGTTACTTCAAAAAAAGTTCAGTTGTAAAAGTCATACATGATCTCAGTTTTTTGAACTGAGTTTTTAAAACGTTTTAACATTTTGTGTATATATAACTTAAAAGTGACAGTTCCTGATAATCCCACCCTTAGAATCTGGGGCCTAGAGGTTGTCACTGTTGGCATGGCCCCATATGTTCCTGAAAAAAGAGTTCTTACCTCCTAGTGTCATGCAGTGTTAGGGCCAGTAGAGGAGAAGCTCTGCTTTGACTGGCCCTAGTCTCTGCCTGGTGGGCAGTAGAAAGCTAGAATAAGAAATGCATTTTTTAAAGTTTGGCAGAGTCCCGTAATCACGTCCCTTCTTGTACCTCTTGAGTAGGTCTGATTCTAAATCGTGTTATACCCCTAGATCAGGAAGGGGGAGTCCCAGGGACTCCCCTAAGACACATGCTATCTCTTTAGAATTTTTCCTTGCATCCAGTCTGAATCTTCCAGGTTGAAACTAAACTCTCTTTCTGTTATCTGGCCAAAGCCCATGTCCCCTCATTTTCTAGTCAGGTCGTATCTCATACGACACTTGATGACTTTTGGCCCCTGCATAATTTGGGGCAGTTTTTCCTGCTGCGGTGCTGGTTCTGGAACAACTCAGGATGGGCTCCACTAACTTGTGGGCTTTTTGCCATTACCCATTCCTTGACAGATAGGGGGCACTGAGGAATATAAGATCTGCCGGGGCATCAAGGAGGGCCGCATCACCAAGCCCGTGGTCTGCTGGTGCATTGGGACCTGTGCCTCTATGTTCTCATCCGAGGTATGACTGGGACAGGTCACTACTGGGCAGGGAGTGGGGAGCCCAAGAGGGGTCATTTGAGGTGAACCGTGTGGTCATCTTATAAACAGCTAGTTCCTTCAATAAATGTTTATTACTTGCTTGGTTACTACAAGGTCAAGCCAGGGCTCTGCTATCTGGGAGCTTATTTCCAGTTAGTGGAGGCACACTTATCAGTGGATTAAGGCCAGAGCAAGGCTTTGAGAGCAATCGGCTGTCTGGAGGAGCTGAGAAGACTTCACCGAGATGGAGAAGCTCGAACTGCATCTTAGGGGATGAGAAGGGGTTTGCTGAAGAAAGGGAGGCCGAGAGTGGGGAGGACATGGCCTGGGCTCGGAGCTGGAGGGCGCACAGTGAGAGGTTCTGTGTGGGAAGAGGTTGTAGAAGGAAAGGAGGTTGGTCATAGATTTTTTAACATGATGTCATGGGTGTAGAATGTATACGCTATCTCAGCTTCTGCTGTCTACTGAGCTTCTGAGCTATCTGTCTCCAGCTGGGGTGTCATAAACCACACTTCAGTCCCTATACTATAGCATAGAGAATCCTCTTTCTTGAAAATACTCATCCAGTGATGATGAAACCGAAGGAAACAACCACTTGTCACCCAGTTAGTTTGTCAACAGCTGCGAGCAGCCTTGTCTTAGTGCTGTATATATAAAAAGATAAAAGTTGGCCTTTGATCAAGGCTTCCTGTAACACTCAAACCCTAAATTTTTCCTGCCAGGAAGCCTTTGTCACACTATTTTTTCTCTCTAGAGTGCTTGCCTTTTCTCTTCAGATTTCTGCTCACCTCAGAGTGGCAATATTTGTCCAGTTATGCATATCTCCTCTGAATGAACAATTTCATTTCTGCAAATTTTCCCTATGGGTATGCATGCAAAAATATTTCACAGTATGTGTACAGGAACGCTCACTGCAGCACCGTAATGGCAAAAAATGGAAGCAACCTAAATGCTCATCTGGAGAGGACTGTGTCATCATGGCACATCCACATAATGGAAAACTGAGCAGTCATGAAAAGAATAAGGTAGATCCTGATACATTGATATGGAATGAGTTTAAGATATATTTAATCTAACAAAGGGGAGGGTGCAGTAAATGTTTATAATATGATTCATTTTGTATAAGTATAAACTCTGTATGTGTGTGTGTGTGTATTTTTTTCCAAGTAAGTAACAGGGGAGGTGAACGTCACAGAATCCTGCCCACTCTCAGGGATGAGCTCTACTTGCACAGGCTGTAAAGTCAGATTTTGGTAGATCCCTGGTGGACTTGCTTGACCAGGGCAAGCCATTTAGCCTATCTGTACCTCAGTTTCCTGAGCTGTAAAATGAGGATGATGACCAGTCATCAGGGAAATGCAAATTAAAACCATAATGAGATATCATCATACCCCATTTAGAATGGCTGTTATCAACGAGACAAAATAATAATGTTGGTGAGGATGTGGAGAAAAGGGAACGCTCCTACATTGTTGGTGGGAATGTAAATTGTTCCAACCATTGTGGAAGACAGTATGGAGGTTTTTCAGAGAACTAAAAATAGATCTTCCATACAACGCAGCTATCCCACTACTTATATAAACTCAAAGGAAATGAAATATCAAAAAGACACCTGCACTCCCATGTCATTAGCAATGCTATTCACAATCGACAAGAGATGGAATCAGCCTAAATGCCCATCAATAGATGAATGGATTAAAAAAAACGGTGTTAATATACACAGTGGAATACCATTCAGCTATAAAAGGAAATGATATTCTATCATTTGCAGCAACATAGATGGAAATGGAAGCCGTCATATTAAGTGAAGTAAGTCAGGCACACAAGTACCACACGATCTCACGCATGTGGACTCTTAAAAAAAAAAAAAAAANCATAGATGGAAATGGAAGCCGTCATATTAAGTGAAGTAAGTCAGGCACACAAGTACCACACGATCTCACGCATGTGGACTCTTAAAAAAAAAAAAAAAAGTGGGCCAGCCCGTGGCTCACTCGGGAGAGTGCGGTGCTGATAACACCAAGGCCCCGGGTTCGGATCCCATATAGGGATGGCCGGTTGGCTCACTGGCTGAGCGTGGTGCTGACAACACCAAGTCAAGGGTTAAGATCCCCTTACCGGTCATCTTTTAAAAAAAAAAAAAAAAAAAAAGTGGCTCTTGAAAGAGTGAGCTGAGACACCAGGTACCGATCAAGCTTTATTAAAGGAAAAGAATCTACCAGGCTGCGCTCAGAGTGGAGGGCAGCCCTCTCAAGATGGAGGACAGCACCAGGTGTGGGATAAGAGAGCTTATATAGGGCACCAAGGGCTGGCTGATACCATCAAGGGGGGGCATTATGCTAATACCAAAGCTGTGTGACCAGGGTGGAGAACTGTGCCCTTGCAGAAGCAAAAGGGTTTCTGTTTTGCAGAAGTCACAGGCTTCTCGTAAAGGGATGGGGAAGGGGTTTGGTGCTGGAGTAAAAGACAAGGCCGGCAGCTATTTTATGCTTATTGTGTGCACAATGGTGCCGGTCATGTCCAAGATCCATCATTTCTGCCTTTTAAGTACAGGGAGAAGGGAAAAGGGGCGAAGGTCTCATTCTTCTGAAGCTACTTCCTGCTGGAGATGGGTGAAGATATGGAAAAAATAAAAGATTTATGTTGGCAGGTAAAACAGTTAGGTGGCAGGGTATTGGTTTCATGTGTGGAGGCTGTATTCTTCCGGGGAAGGGTCGCTGATTCTGAGGGGCTGATATCCTCCTCGCAGGAACAATTTGGTGACTTTTTGGTTGGTGAAGGTCTGCATTCGTTCCTGCAAGAAACTAGAGAAACACCAAAAGAGACAGGGACCAAAATGTAGGATGAGGCACAGTTAGGGGTCCTAGTAGGGGCATAAGCCAGGGTATCCAAGGGTTCAGTGATGGGCCGCCCCCAAGGTGTGCTTGTGTTTTGTAACCCTTTGCGTTGGCGACCAATGCTTGCCTTTAAATGGTTTAAGTTGTTTTGGATCACCCCGGACTCACTTATGTAATAACAGCATTCCTCCCCCAAGAAGAGGCAGGTGCCTTCCTTCTTGGTTGTAGGGAGGTCAAGGGCCCGATAGTTCCGTAAAGTGACTGTCACGAGTGGGGTGACCTGTTGCTGGAGAGAGGAGATGCTATCTATACGTAGTTCTTCTGAGAAGTTTCGATAGAATTGAGAGGCAGTAGCAAGGTTCACTATGTCAGTCCCAGTTGCAGGAAGGATCCCTGCCCCAATTTAAAAAGGTATAATTAGGGCCGGCCCAGTGGTGCACTGCTACAGTGCGCCGCTTGGGAGCGCGACGGTGCTCCCGCCGAAGGTTCGGATCCCACATACAGACCGGTTCCCGCTCACTGGCTGAGTGAGGTGCGGGTGCAACACTGAGGGTTGCAATCCGTTGCCAGACACGAAAAAAGACAAAAAGGAAGAAAAAATAAAAATAAAAAATAAAAAAAAATAAAAAGGTATAATTAGTGCCCTATGGGAGCAGGGGGGCAGTTCCTGAGAGGGGGGCCAAAGTTAGTCCCAGTCCCATCTCCATCCCTCCATCTGTCTGGAGCCAAACAGATATGCAAGAAATCGTGTTAGGGGGCAGGCAACAGGATAACATAGTTTTACAAAGGAAATCTGGTTGTAGGGCATGGATGAGGAGTGGTTGAGTGGTAGCCTTTGGTGGTGTTAGTAAGGCAGAGTGTGGGCAGGACCCACACAACGCTGACAGTCCCCACTGAGGTGAGATTAGAGGAAAGTGATGAGACGTTTGTGGAAATGTTGTGGGCTGCATCGACAGGGAGGGGGTGGCCACAAAAAGTTTCTTGCAAAGCGGGAGACAGATGAGTCACTAGGGGACCAGTCTGATTCATTGAGGACTGCATCATCCCTGTGGACCTGGAACCTCTATGTTCCAGGTAAGGGGGAGCATTGAGATAGGAGGAAAAACACGGGAAGGATGCGAAGGTTTAGGGAGCCAAAAGAATTTAAAGGGCACATTGCCACAGTGGAATTGCTAAGAAGCATCCTACTGATAGGAGATAAAGGAGGCCAGGAGAAATCTTCCTATAATGTTACACTCCTTTGGGGCAGCTGCTGTCAATCCTGTAGCAAGTACTAGAACAGATAGTATAATAAAGGTTAGGGACACGGGGTGGCATATACTTAATCATGTCCCACGATGGCAAACCAGCGATCGCAGGTTGGGACCAGCCTTGGAGCAGCTCCTGTGGGAAGGACGTGAAGAGGGCCGGTAAGAGTGAGAGGATAATCACCAGGGGAAAGATCATTCTCTTCTGGGATTGAGGGAAGAGTGGAGGGCCTGGAAATTTTTAGTTTTGTGGGTTCTAAAATGGACGAAGTGTAAGGAGATGTTGGGTTGGGGGTTGAGCAGAGGGACCCCTCTGGCTTGGTGTTAACAGATTCTTTGGGTAAAGTCTCAGGTGCTAGTTTTACCAAGGATAAGTGAGACCAAGGGGCCTTTCTTCTGTGTAAGGCCCTTCCCAACATGGTGAGAGAGGCTTTGAGATTCAGATTTTAATGTATACTTGCTGTCCTGGGCTCAGTTTAAAGTCTGAGGGGTGGTGGGGAAAGGATGAGGTAATAGAAGGTTGGCTTGTTCCCTAAGAAGATCCCTAATGAGCAAAAGAGTAGGGAGATACTGGCATAAAGGTGATGAGCTGGAAGGGAGAGGTGTGAGGGTGAAGAGTCTGCCATACATAAGTTCGAAGGGGCTGAGGCCTGTAGGATTGTGGGGGGCAGCCTGCAAGTGAGTGAATGTTAAAGGGAGAAGTTGGGTACAAGGGAACTGAAGTTCCATGGACAGCTTGGGGAGGTGTGTTAGATTTACCATGGCATCTTCCACCCTGGGGGTGGGCGTGGAGGTGGTGCTCCCATCTATGAAACATGTATATTGGGGCTGTGTAATGGGATGTGGGGAGATGTGTGGAAAGGGATTGAGAAAGCAGTCTAAAGCTTTCATGCAAC